AACTCTGCCAGTCAATGGAGACATTGTTGTTGAGATAATTAGAAAAGAAGTTGATGATGCTGTCTGATGGAGGAGGGAAAACGCGACGCGATCGCGTAAATTAGCGGGGTTCGTCTTCACTTTTGCGTCCCCACTGTAGCTTGATGGTTGAAGTGCTAATTTCAAGTGTAAATAACCTACAGCCTGTATACATATGCAGTAACTTGGTAGATAATATCGTTACTTTGTGAAGCATCATACAATGGTTACCGTAAAGCCTTGGGATCTACGGGGTACTGGGTGTACAGAGAAGTTGACTTGTTCCTGATGGGAAATACTTGGCGAGCAAGGCGAGAATCGAAGTGTACCCAAGAGATCTTGATTCAATCTGCCATTTGATCATTCGTATTACATGAAAGGGTGACTGAAAGGGGGTGAACATACACGAACGGAATACTACTGCCCTTACTCACGTGGCTACTACGGCCGTGCCATGTTCCGTCGACATCTCGTCCTCCCCTGTACACATTTGCCCCCTTCATTATTAGACACCATTCACCATGTCGCCAGTTTGGAAACGCCCGCAGAGTTCGAATCAGCTTGTAGAACTGCAAAAGGCCCCCCAAAAGATCAAAGCAACAAAGCCACGCCGATGAAAAGATTAATTTCGTGAGCGAGCCGGAAACAGAGGATTCACTGCTAGTCGGCGCTGGCTGGCGACTTGAAAAGGGGTGGGCAGAGGCGTGGTCGACTGAAGAGCCATTTCCAGCGGCACTGATTCCACCCAACTTGGTGCCTAGTCTTTGATTTCGCTCGCAGATTCCCTCGAGAATACCTGATGGCCTGACGCGAGTGGCGATAAATAACTAGAACTCAGTGGAATGCGGGACACGACGAAAGTTTTCACGTCTGCACTTCGCCGAGTGGCTGCAGGAACATCCGTAGCTTTTGGCTGGATATCTGGGATTCAATACATCGAGAGAATCCCATGACTGGGTGGACTTTGAAGGTAACACTCTGGATAAGCCATCTTCCTACCCTTATATACCTGGCCATGAATCGACCAGGCTGTGTCATAAACTGATGGAGACATAATCTATTGTGCCAAAGATCATCAAGCACATCGTTCTGTTACAGCATCTACGGGGCCAGAAATAAAACACAGATGCTGGTAGCCTTCTCCCTCGGGCATCCGAGGTGTAGGAACGCTTCGGAAAGCTGGAGAAGGATCACGGCTGCCTCAAGCAGGCTCTCGATGAAAGCGAGCCGCATCAAGTTTTAGTAAACAAGGGACGCCTGGCTGCGGTAATAAAGAAGACACTGTCATCTATGTGAGGGACATTGATCCGTTGTTGTCGCTCCTCTCTGTCTTGTACAAGCTAATCAGAGCATACACAGATCGCTTCAGCCAGAGGCACCCACCTCAGCCGATCGAATACACCTGGAACATCCATCATGAGGACTGGATGTGGACTCATGCCATCGTTATTTACACGGTAAAAAGACAATTTGACATACACGATGCATTCAAAACGCCTATGCCTGGAACTCGCAGTTGACGACGACATATAAGCCATACTTCGTTAGACCCTAAGATCCCCTGAAACCATGAAATAGCAACAAGACGTCAACACCCAGTTAAAGACACTTATCCAAACGAGTGTGGTCTGTCACCCCTCGCTGGGTTTTCGCCAAGAAGCACAACGCACAAGGCCAACTTGTTCGACACAAGACGAGAATTGTTGTCCGCGGATATACACAAGTACACGGGCTCAATGATGACGATACATACAGCTCTGTTGCTTGATATAACTTGCTCCAATTACTTATTCGACTTGCGGCCATAAGGGGGTGGTAGCTCCACCAGATGGACGTTGAGAAAGCGTACTTGTACAGCGATCTTCGACATGAAGTCTTTATGACTTGTCCTGACGGCTACACGGCTCAATCACCGTCTCATGTCGTTCTACGCTTTGACAAGGCTATCTACGACCTGATTAGTTAAGGTCGATCTGGGGGAGAACAAGCTATCGAGGGTTGTAATCACGAGCTATCACCATACACATGCCTTGTGACAACCCTACAGAACTCGACCCATGGCTTGAAGGTCCATAAATCTTGTTATCGGGGAATCATTATGGAGCTTCCAATGGATTATGCGACACTCTTGCGGACCATAGGTCGACTTTGGCGTAGGGGACAAAAGCACGACATAGACTGGGAGATTCTCATCGCGAGGCATGGCTTTGACTCTTTTCTCGAGACGAGAATGCTGAATCAATGTGCTGATATACTCGCAATTACGGGTCGAATCGATGCTGCAATCACTGGTGAGATGCGACGGATCTGCGCTTTTGTGATTATGATGCAGTAGCTCGGACAGGAATGCTCACGACATCCCAGGGTGGGAGCATCATGGGACCAATTGGACCAAGTTAAGCTGGACCAAGAGGGATACTTTTATTCGGCGCTTGCCGGATCCTTTTTGAGAACCCAGAGAAGACCGCTTTGGTGAACTCATGCGACTTTCCAGAGATTGCTCGAGCTTGGAAGATTGGGATGGATGTGACCACAGATGGATGGTACAAAAGCCGAATCCTCTGAAGAAAAGAGAGGGGTTGACGGTTAAACTTGGCTGGCTAAAGAAGAGTTTGTATGGGGAAGAGTGGGAGACAAGAAGAAAATTGAGATCGAACCCACTACTATCGTGATGAGCGACGTTCCACACGATAGAATCGAAACGGGTAATACGAGAACAACCAAGATATCTGGGCTTTCCATATGACTTAGATATGGTATGTTTTTAAACCCTAGATTACTGTTCCGAATTAACATGGATGAAGATGGCAATGCTCATGGATTGGCCTTATGGTATCGCTCTCTTGTGGTAAATAAGAACTGATAATCTTTACAAATCATCAGGTAAATGCTATTGATGGTATGCAATCCATGGCCTCTAGGCTTGTTCACAGTCACGACGGACAACCGTCACATGCCGAAACCAATACGTCAATCTCCCAGCTCAGCCTGCCAAGTCTGCCTAGCACATGAAAGACAAGACAACAAAAAGGAGAAATAAAAGCCAAGAAGCCGCGGCTGGCACAAGTGCCCTTTTACCCCAGATCTCACCCCACACACCCATCCGATGCTCTCCCCGCTCTTTGCGCCTAAATGACATGGATGGTAATCCCAGCCCTTCCCCGCAAGTTGCATGTGTTCCTGGGGAAAAGAGCAAAGCAAGTACCGACGGGCATAAAGGAACAGAGAGAATTGGAGGGCTTTTGGCAGGATTGCGCGTTGGGAGCTTGTCCTTGTCTGGGTTGGTATGTTCATGTTTGTTGTGGGAGGGGCTGTGAGCTGCCTGATTGGGATATGGGTCCGGCTGAGGTAGCGACGATCACTTTGTTTCTTGGTGGTTATGTGAGGTTGTAATTGTTAACGTAATTTGATGATGGGATGGGAATGAGGGAGTGGGAAGGGGACTAGAGGTGTTGATTGACATGGATTAGATGATGAGGGTTGAACGGATGGATGGAAGAAGTTAGATGGTTGTAGGGGGGGATACGAGGGTATATAAGATGGAGGATGACGCTGTATTTTTCCAATGAGAAGAGCTGATGCTTCTTTTTGTGCTTAATTGTCACGCAGTTTTCATAATATTGGAGCTCGAATTGCATTGGAGTTGATTCCAACTTGTTGCCTGTTGTTGATCTCGTATATACTCACATCAACACCACAACAAGCCCCCCCTTATATACATCACCCTCATCGTCAACAACAACAATTCCAACATCAAGACGCGTATATAATCCAACAAACCTCCAAAATGCAACTCCGCTTCATCCCCCTCCTCTCCCTCATCACCCCCCTCCTCGCCGCCTCAACCCCGGACCCAAACCCCATCCTCACAGCCATCAACACAATCTCCTCCGACACAACCGCCCTCAACACCACCGTCGCGTCCTGGGACGGCAACGCCCTCACTCTCCTCGAAATCACCGTCCAGTCCGCCAAGCTCCTCGCCGCCATCAACGACGGCACCAAGACGGCCAACAAGGCGGCCAACCTCACCCTCGCTCAGACGCTCGACGTGGCCACCGCGACGGTGAGCCTCGCCACGGGCGTCAACCAGACCATCACCACGATTGTGTCGGCGAAGCCCAAGTTTGACAAGCTGCTGGTTGTAGACCCGGTGATTTTGTTGAATTTGAAGCTGGAGCAGGATGCGTCGAGGGACTTTTCGGCGGCGGTGGTAGCGAAGGTTCCGGCGGATTTGCAGGCCATTGCGCAGGGTTTGACGCAGGGTATTGATGATAGCTTTTCGGAGGGAATTGCGGTGTATGAGACGTGGTAATGATGACGATAATAATGATTGAGGTAGTTGGTTTCGTATCTCTGTACGAGTCAGCTCATGAAATGAAAAATGCGACAAGCTGTTTGGAAAACCATATGCCGTGATTTGATGTTCAACTGATACACGTATATACAACGCCATTGACTCTTTTTTCTTTCCTTTGCCTTTTTCATTCCTCTCTTAATCCATCTGATCCACCGTCTGCGCATCCGCCTCATGCACACCATTCACTCCCGCAATATCCTTGCCATCAGCCTCCGTAACCGCAAACCTCCAGCCAAACTTGTCCTCCTTCTTACCCAGCTGAATGCCCTTCAAGTCCGTCAACACCTTCAAGCAAACAGGTCCAGCATCCTCCTGGCCCTCAGGAATGTACGTCACAGTCTCCGCCTCCGCCGTCTTCGTAACATTTGCTCCAGCAGCGAAACCGCTCGTGCCACGGCGCGTGATGCTCCGGATGGGCACCAATGCTGCAGCCGTTCCAGCGGCAAAGACCTCGCTAAAGGACGGCAGCTCGGCGTACTTGATGACGCGCTTCTCGACCTTCCAGCCGTAGCTCTGGGCCAGCGTCAGGACGCTGCTGCTGGTGACGCTGTCGATGACGCACTTGGAGTCTGGCACCACCAGGGTGATGTCGTCGCTGCCGCCGCTGCCGCCGCTGCCCGTCTTGACGCCGATGAAGCCGCTCGTGCTGAACTCGTCAATGTCCTCGTGCCGGGCGCTGTCCAGGTGCAGCGTGATTCCGTATCCCTCCGTCCGCGCCTTGTCGCTCCATCGCAAGACTGGCGCATAGTTGCCGCCGACCTTTGCGTGGCCAGTGCCGTTGGGCGCCGCGCGGTCGAACTCGTCGAGGATCAGGGCCTTGACCGGGTGCACGCCGTGGTAGACGCCCGTGGGGATGACGAAGACGCAAAAGGTGTATTCCTCCGGCGCGGACAGGCCCAGCTGGGCGCTTGATCCGTAGATCTGAGGGCGGATGTACATGGCGGCGCCGGTCTCGTGGGGGGGAACGTAGCCGGCATTGAGCGCAACAGCGGCCTTGACCGCCTCAAGGAACAGCTCGACAGGCACCGGAGGCATGCAGGCGACCTCGGCCGAGTGCTGAAGCCTCACGGCGTTGCGGTCTGGGCGGAAGATGGCGATGTCGTTGTCGCCGGGCAGGCGGAAGGCCTTGAGGCCCTCGTAGGCCTGCTGGCCGTAGTTGAGCGCCGGTGCCATGCCGTGGATGCGCATGTACGGGTCCGCCACATACTTGATGGGCGTCCACTTGCCCGTGTGCACTGAGTATGTCGATTCAATGTGGCCGTTGACTGAAAACAAGAAAGACGTTAGTCACAGTTCACAGCACCAGGGAAAGCTTGCAACTGACCTTCGCGGACTCGGAACCCGACGTTGGACCAGTCAATGGTGTTGACCGGCGGCGGAGGAAAAGCACCCATGATTGAAAAGGCTGTTTTACTTGTGTAGCCGAAGTTGCGACAAGTCTGAATTGTTCAATTGACACAAGCAAAAGGTCGAGAGAGAAGCTCCAGTGGGTACGATATCAGTCATAACCCAAACAAACTGGGGTAACTAGAAAAAAAAGAAAAAGAGGAGAGCAGAAGGCGCCACGTCGATCACAGTAAGAACTCAAAAAACAACTCACTCTCCAGACGAGAGAGAGAGAAAAAAGGACGTCAGAAGAGTTTAAAAAGAGAAGGCTCCAATGTGTAAGAACCCAATTGCTATTTTATTTATTTTACCCAAGTAGCCTCATCCACAGCGGGAGTCATCTTCTGTTTGCATCCGTTTTCCCCAGAAACCAAACAACCACACAGAGAGCCGATTTCGCTCGGCCCCTCCGCTTCCGGCGATTTCGAGTGCTCCCAAATGCTCCGCAGTGTCCCCGGAAAATCGAACGCCTAGGGACCTGCTAAAAAGGTAATTGTTCATTTGGTATGTAGAGAAATCACGGCGCACTAAGTTCTCTTGGGTAATAGTAGGACTTAATTGAGTTGGTTCTGCCGAGGGAAAAATAAGAGATAACAAGGGTGAGAGAGTAGTGAGATCTGGTGTCGAGTTTAGGCTGTGACGCTGCAATCTTTAAGAGTGTGCATACGTCTCCCGATCGCCTTTGTGTAACAGCCGGATTCTAGCTTCAACTATACCAGCTTCAGCCCTGACCATTACAGTTCCGTGTATCGCAATACATCATCATCAAAGAATATTTACTATTGTTCCCAAACGAAAGAACTCGTGTCAAAGAGCCATCTACATCGCCCAATTCTCCACAAACCCATCCAATCATCCTCTACGCCCGTGTCATAGTGGCCCGTAGCTTCAACACAGCTCTCAATGGATCAAGAACCGAGTGGCAAATAAGCTTTCCTAGCTGCTTAGCTACAGAAAACACATGAATCAACAGAATCAGCTCATCAGCCCATCCATTCACGCTTACCCAAAAAGTATCTACCCGATGCCAACCGCCAAGAGATGTAGAATATGTGTGTATAATGTAAATCCTTTTGTTGATGCACGCGAGCGCTTATACTTAATAGCTATGTACCATACACATGCTTCCCAATGCGTGTGTCTATGTTACCGCTTATACCAGATGAAAGCCAGAAAAACCAAGTGAAAACAAATGCTAGAATACAGAGAAACACAAAGTAGAACGGTAAAAACTTGTAGAGTTGAGTCAAAAAACGAAACACGCAGGCCAATTTAAATGGTAAGGACAGGTTTCACCCTCGCTTCTCTCTTTGACTCAATGCCCTATCAAGTGTGGGAAAGGGGGGTGCTCGTGCTATATATGGACTCAATCATCGTGTAAACGATCCTCATGAAGCCATGTCCAGGTATAATTCAAACTTCACTCATATCCATCCATACGCCTCCTTTTCATGTACCTGAGACGCCTTGCACGACAAGAAAAACATATAGAGAAGAAAAAACAAAGAAACGAAAACGTGGCCAAGGAAATCAACTTTCAAATGGACAAGAGAGAGGGGGGAAGAGATTGAGGGAAGAAGCAAACAACCGAAGCCCGTCAACTATAATTCTCATGAGCTCGACGCAAGTCGCTGAAGGCAGTTAAGGACACCTGTGTACAAACATTAGCACCTCTCGTTCCATTATCACTCATCACTTCAACAAAAAGTCAACTTACCGCTCACGCCCTGAGTCAAGGTGGCTGCGGCCTCGGTGTTCCGGCTGCCAAGGCTCACTGTGATGACGTCCTTGATCTGCTTCTGGCTGCCCAGGCTATTCGCCCACTTAAACACCTTTTCGTCTTCTCGGCCGTCACCGACAACCATCAAGAAGTCAACGGGTTGCTCATGGGCCTGGTCCGAGTTCATGTGCTCTCCGAGTTGTTCAAACACCCGCTGCGCCGCTGTGCACTTGGTCCAGTCCAGAGGCTCAACCAGGATGGCGCCATCCACTGCTAGGGCATGCACTCTCTGGGACTCGCAGGCATCGTTCACGTGGCTAGCGCAGTCGGATGCCTGGCGAGACGCTGATTCATAGTCTTCGGCGTTGTTGTAATGGAAAAGCAGACTGCAGCGTCGCTCCTCGATTTGCGCGCCAGGTGTTCTCTCGAGGTAGTACTGCATGATGGGCTTAACCGATTCCTTCCAGTTGGTGATCTGAGACGCATCAGCCATTTCCACCCACTCCTCCTTGCCACAGTCCTTGAGGAAACAGCCGTTCTCAGCAATCAGGCCGAGGTTCGGCACGCGGCGGAACACTCGATCCAGCTCCTCCGGCCGTCGGCCAGACATGACATAGACAGTGTTTCGTTCATCCAGCAGCAGGTCGTTGAGCACATCCAAAGTTCGCTGTGGGCTGACTGGGATGATTTGATTCACAGGACCCCAGCTGACAAGCGTGCCCTCGTAATCCAGAATAAACAGTCGGCGCTGAGCATTTGCGTACTTGGCTGAAACCGAGCTCATCGAGAGCCGGGGCACGTAGGTCTGGTCGCGCTTGTGTTGCTCCTCGTATGATCGATCCAAATGGCTGAGGAATTCAGTGAACCAGTGGGAGCCAGTCTGGTGCACCACACACTGGTACAACTTCTCCCACCGACGAGTCTTTTCTTCCTGGCTCATCTCGAGTGCCTGCTTGATTGCGTCGGCGCACTGGCGGTAATCCCAAGGATTAACCGACAGCTCGTTCTTTCCAAAGAGCGATGATGTTCCAGTAAACTCGGACAAGATGAGGGAGCCATGCTTCTTGTCGGGGAAGATCTTGCCATCCTGGCAAAACAGGTATTCATGCGAGGTGAGGTTCATGCCTTCACGCTGGCTGGTGATCATGAGTGCATCAGCAATGGAGAGGAGGGCCAGATATTGGGCGTAGTCAATATCCTGCTTGAGATAGACGACGGGTTGGTATGCCAGATTTGCCCACGACGAATTCACGCGCGTAACGATGTCAGAGACGGCGGCATCAAGCTCAGTGGGCTCGCCCGAAGACAGCGCCACCTGGATTAGGACAGTGTTCTCGCGCCATTCCGGGTTCTTATTCAGGAACAGCTCGTATGCCAACAGCTTTTGCCTGACTCCTCGCACATGGTCGAGCTTGTCTCGTGCGACGATGAGCCTCTTTCCTTGGTAGCGCTCTTGCATGACGGCAAGCCATTTCTTCACCTCGGTTTCCTCACGGTGCTTGTTTAGGCTGACAGGGTCAATGCCAATGGCATTGTGAACAACCTCGACGAAGCGGTCTTCAAGCTGCAGACCTTCGGGTGTTGCTTCGACAGTGAGGATGCGACTGCAGGTAAGCAAAAAGTGTCTGGTATATTCCTGGATCTGGAAGCCAATGAGGTTGGCTCCCAGCATACCCTCGAGGAGCTCCTTTCGAACGGCCAGGCAGCGGAAGACTTCGGATGAGGGGAAAGCAACGTGCAAGAAGAAGCCAATCTTGGCCTCGGGCAGCTTCTTGCGGATCATGCCAGGGACGAGCAGCAGGTGATAATCGTGGATCCAGATGACATCACCTCGCTTCCAGTTCTGGACAATCTTGTCGGCAAAGGCCTGGTTGACCTTGACGTAGTATTTCCAGGAGTGGTCCTCGTACGCCTTGCTCTTGGGGTTGTCGGGGATCTGGTAGTGGAAGACGGGCCAGAGCATCTGCTTGCAGAAGTGGCTGTAGTGACCGTCAAAGTCCTTGTCGGAGCAGAAGACGGCCAGCATGTCGTGCTCGGTGGCCAACGTGTCTTCAATATCTTGCTTCTGCTGAGTACCCTCGAGGGCATCAGTGGGCATGCCCAAAGTGCCGACCCAAGTGTAATCAGAGAGCTTTCCATCGCGGGCGGCGGCCATGGCGGCGTTGCGGAGCCCTCCGTTGCCCTGGTCAGCGTTGATGACGCGCCATGAGGCAGAGGCAAAGACCTTGTCATGACTCTCGCTGCGGATCAGAGATCTGGGCTTAACGATGCCTCGACGGCCCATCTCGGTTGCTTTTTGCAGGGTGCGGCTGCTCTCGAAGATGTCGGCCGGCGGCGGCGTACTAGCCCGTGATTTCGGCTGGTCAGCACGCCCGCCCCAGGACTTGGAGCCCTTGTCGGCGGGGGAGTTGTCGCTATGCGGGAAGTGAATACGAAAGCCATCTTCGTTGGCAAATGGATCGGGTGAAGTGGGCTCGTCGACCGGGGTGTGAGGCGGGGTGATGTCGGGTCGCGGCGTGAAGAGACTTGGCTGGACATCGACGGTGGAAACGACGGGCGGAGGCTTGGGCGGTTCAAAAGCCTTTTGGCGCTTGGAGAGCGTGTGTCGACGGCGAGAGTTGCCTGGCAAATTGAATTGCACCGTCTTGGGGAGAAATCTGTAGAGGGTGACAAAAAAGACAGATGACGTGCATTAGCCTCAGAGTAGCGTAGATGTCATGGCAGCTACCACAAAAAAACGCGGGACAGAGACGGGAGACGGGAAAAAATGACGGAACAAATGCAATTACAGCCAGTCGACTTACAGGGAGCAAATAAAGACTGTCATGGTGGGCAATGGCTTGTGTTCAGCTTAGAGCCTAACTGTAAGACAGTGTATAGAGTGTTGTTCGTCGCCGGTCGAGTTGGCGTGCAAGTCGGTAGTGATGGGCAGTAAAGATGAGGCCGCAAGAAAGCGAACGATGTCGGTCTGTCTGTCTCCGCTGAGATGGCAGGTAAACTGGCTATCGGCTATGGCAGAGACATGAAGGCAGTGTGGCTGCTCTCTAACGTGGTCTGTCCAAGAGAGAGGGGACGGAATGTCGTCAACCTTGAGTGTGTTGGTGAGAAGAGAGTAAGAAGGAGAAAGAAAGAGGCTTTTCGAGATGAGCAGCCGAAGAGGTAGAAGTAGCAGCGTTAGACGCGGGAAGCTAGACAGATGCTGGGCAGCAAAAAAGACACGTCCGGCCGGTTCTTTTCTTAGCTGGCAAGGGAGCAGCAATGCGGAGCTTTTTTGGAGGCGGGAGGGAAGACAAGAGGTCCACCTGCTTAGGCTGGCGGCTGTGATAGGCTGCGCCTAAGGTAAAGCGGGTGAGAAATGATATCAAACGGGACAAACTAGGGAGAAAAAAGAACGATAGAGTTCAAAAGAGACTTGAGAGACTGGGAGTGAGCAATAAAAAGAAAAAAAAGGAACTTGGAAGAAAAATAGGCTAGGTAGGTTGAGGGAGGCTTTGCTTTTTTGGTGGCCAGCCGCAAACCAAGGCAGCGGGACCGATCGGGAAGCTTTGGATTGGATGCCGTCCTAAAAAAATGTTTCGGCTGGCCCGCAGGTCGTATCACCATGAGCGACTGCAAGACTCGGAGCGGGGGTCCCCTTGTCGTTTTACTTGATTTTTTTCTTTCTCTTGACCTTTGTCTTTGACTCGATTTAGGCGTTTTCTTGCATCCGGTTCCCCTCGCGACAGGGATACAGATCCGGTATGAAACGTGCAGAGAAATTGGAG